GGCACATTGTGTATTGCATTGCATTGAGTTTTCTATTGTGTGGTGTTGTGTTGTTGCATATTGTGTATTATTGTATTTACTGTATTGTACTGAATTGCATTGTATTGTATTATAACCTTCCTTTATTATTTCTACAAATAATCAAGGTGCTAAACATATCCAACACACCTTCCTCCTCCTATTTTCACCACAACAACCCTGTGAGGTGGGCTGGGCTGAGAGAGAGAGAGAGAGAGAGGGACTGGCCCAAAGTCACCCAGCTGTCTAACACGGGACTAGAACTTACCGTCTCCTGGTAATTGGCCCAAAGTCAACCAAGCTAGGTTTTACAGTTAAGGTGGAACTAGAATTCACTGTCTTGTGCAGGTGAATAAAATGCTGGCTTAGAAATCAGGACCCAGTGAGTTCTAGTCCCACTTTAAGACATGAAAGCTGACTGGGTGACTTTCAGCCAATCGCTAGGAGACAGTGACTTCTAGTTCCGCCTTAGGCATGAAAGCCAGCTGGGTGGTTTTGGGTCAATCACCAGGTGACAGGGAGTTCTAGTCCTGCCTTAGACATGAAACCCATCTAGGTAACACTGGGCCCATCACCTGGAGATGGAGTGTCCACCTTAGGCATGAAAGACACCCGAGTGACTTTGGACTCTGTTACTCTCTCCTTCACACACCAGCCTACTTCACAGGGTTGTTGTTGTGGGAAAAGAAGGAATGAATGAATGAATATCATGCATGTTTACCACCTTGAGTTATTTACAATAAAAGTGGAAATAAATAAAATAATAAAATAATTAATATAAAATTACGTAAAATAAAATAAAAAATATTAAAATAAAATTAAAATATTACAATAAAATAATCTCTCTATATAAAAGCGAAATCCCACTCACGCATCATCACAAAATCTCCAGAACAGTAAAGCCTACAAACTTGAAGTCTGGCACATATGTTCCTCTTGGCTTCTAGGGGCTCACTAAGACAGGATTTTTTGAAAAGACCAACAGAGCATTAATATTTCCTATATTATTATTATTAACACGCTCTGATGCTAAGGAGTTCTATTCCCCGTCCCCACCTGGAAAGAAATCTCTTCCAAAGGCAAAACACAAGCAGAGAGGAGTCTCAGTTTCAGAGCACCAAGCAGCTTTAGTACAGAACAGTTGAGCTAAGCCACGCCCAGGCTCCTTGCTGTCTCCTTCCTGCTCACACAGCAAATCCTCTTTCAGTTTCCAAACAGCCCTCAGCTCTCACACACACTGACAGGACGCTTGCCAGATGAACACCCATGGATGCTGGTAGGCAGAGGCAGAATTTTCCCTCCCTTATTTTCCTCCCCCAAAACATGGATATCTGTATCCAGCTAGTAATGAAAAAAATAAAAATAAAATAAAGTAAATGCTGGTAATAAATAAAATAAAATAAAATCATAAAATAAAAGGCAAGAAAAACGATGAGGAAGGACCACTGCTTGTGCTCGGCAGCTTCCGGCCTTATTGTCCTCCATGATAACAAAGCACCGTCTTACCTTTCTTTCTAAATAAGAAGCTATGAGGCCAAAGTTCTTAGGATGCTGGACAAACCTGTAATAAAAAGAAGGAAAAGATCCAGGTTTAGCCAACTCCCTGACTGACAAGTCAGGCCTCCTCCTCCTCCTCCTTCACTCTGCAAATCCCATACTCCCTTCTTGCACTGATGATGTTCCCTAGTTGGGCCATGAAACGTCTGCACAAAAACCGCCAAGCTCAGAGAGAGCACCAAGGACTCCTTCACTGCCTCCTTCCTCCTCCTCCCTTCTAGAACTGATGATGTTCCCTAGTTGGGCCATGAAACGTCTGCAAGAAAACCCCCAAACCCCCAAGGACCCCATATTTAAATGCTCTTTTCAGGAAGACCTTAAAACATTTCCAAATTCAGCTGCCAACTTGACACTCAAGCAAATTATCTCGGACCACGGAGGTCATCTCCACTTTCCTCCCAATCTTCATCACAGCTCTTGACCAAACCATCCCAAATCTTCCCACAAAGCACGGGGGGGTGGGTGTGTGTGAAAAAAATAAGACTTCCAACTGGTCCTCAGAGTTATGACTGTCTCAGCATGCCGACAGTCATGCGTTCAACATTCAGGCAGTCCTCAACTTACAATACTTCTTTTTAGGGACCGCTCAAGTTACAACAGCACTGAAAAAGGTGACTGGTGACCGTTTCTCACACTTACAACCGTGACGGCATCCCCAGGGTCACGTGATTTATATTCGGACGCTTGGCCACTGACTCGTATTTATGACGGTCGCAGTGATCCCCGGGGTCATGCGATCCCCTTTTGCAACCTTCTGACAAGCGAAGTTGAGAGCGGGGGCGTTAGCCACTCCTTTGGATGATCGTATGCCGGGATACAAACCGACAACCATCTAGGTTTGAAGTCCTATTTGTACACAGGACGCACATCCCATCTGGCAATAACGGGTTAAATTCCGATCCAGGTTAGCACTGGGAGCGCTTGCCTTCCAGCGCCATTTACAGTATTACCCCACCCATCTAATCGCAGCTAACTCCTGCGAACCACCCCTAAGTTATGTTCCCAACTGCCTCCCATTTCCTAAGATGATTATCCATGGTTTATAGCAAGAGCAAGAGCGCTTAGACTTATATACTGCTTTATAGTGCTTCCCAGCCCTCTCTAAGCGGTTTACAGAGCCAGCCTCTGGCCCCCAATCAACCTGCGTCCTTATTTTACCAACCTCGGAAGGAGGGAAGGCTGAGTTGACCTTGAGCCAGTCAGGATCTAACTTCCTTCTTGTTTTCCTTCCTTCCTTTCCTTCTCCTTGTTTCCCTTCCTTCCTTCCCCTTCCTTCCTTCTCTTTTCCCTTTCTTCTTGTTTCCCCTCCTTCCTTCCTTCCTTCTTTCCTTCTTTCCTTCCTTCCTGTTTCCCTTCCTTCCTTCTCCTTCCTTCCTTCTCCTTGTTTTCCTTCT